TTATGCTCTCCTCTTCCAGCAGTTTAGGGAAGAGCTGGATTTAGCTTGTCACACCTGCACATTGTCTCTCAGACTTGAGAATACTCAATTTTAATATCAGTTCTGGCTAAAATTAATCCTCTGACTACTAGCTGTTTGGTAAAATTTCCATCACCCATATGTGAATGAACAGAAGTGAAAGTGTAATGTTGAAAAGGCAGGTAGAAACAGTAAGGTGAAGCAGAGAGAGAAGAGTATGTGATAAGTTTGTGAGAGAGAATTGTTAAAGAGAATAAGTAAAGAACAGAATGTAGTGAGAGAAATGTGAGAGGGAGTAAAAATAACAGACAAAATGACACTTAAGACACTACAAAATACAACGTTAAAATAGTGAATACAGCTCATAAGGGAAAGAAGGTAACATAGCAGGAAGTTATTTAAAAATCCAGTAGAATTGATTGTAATTGTAACATTGTCGCAGAGCATCCTGCAAACAATAGGAAAGTATTATTGCTTTAAATTACTTGGATCCATGCTCACATTGGACTTCACATCAGTACCTTGTACCTACCAGAGAAACTGATGAGCCAATCAGCAGACCAAATTCACTGAATCCCTGTCATAGGGCCACTGACAACTAGGTTGTGTGTCACCATACATCTTTCAAGCTGTTGGCTTGACACTTCGAATTATGCAGCAAAACATCAAGGGTTTGTTGACAGACAACCACAGTGTACTTACCTGTCAACATAACATTGACATCATCTGCTTACAAGCTACAGTGAAGGTTAAGAGGCTTGGAGTTGTCAAGTGAGCGGATTTGACGTGCTAATCACCTTTGCCCAAGTATAGTTGTGGTGGTTATGTTTTTTCTGGTATCATAGTGTGGCGGAGCACCTTTGGGGTGCTCGCTACTTGAGGGCTCTCATGGGCTCCATTGGGAGCCTGCTTTAGAGCAGCAGCTGGGGAAACCTTCCCCTGGTACCATTTAAAGTGGGGAGGTGTGTGGCACAGCCCAGAGGGTGCCTGCCACTTCAAGATCAGAGCCAAGCAGCCAGCAGGTGCTTGCCTGAGGCAGCCATTTTAGATCACTGGCTGCCTATATAAATGGCTCAGTTCCCTGCTGGCTTGGAAGGTAGTAACATCATCTGGCTGCAAGGCTCCATAACATCTTAATTAAGTAAGAACAAGGCATAGCAGACGAGTCAGTTGGGGGGCGTGCCCAAAGGCAAGTGGGGAACCTAGCACTGTGGCTAGGCAGGGGGTCCCACATTGCCACATGTAGATGATACCATGCTGTCATCATGAACTTATGCACAGTTGTAGGGTAGAGGTCTTTAAATCACAGACGTATATGAGCTATTCCAAATTAGCATCAGAAAATAAGCCCTGCCAGATCTGGGTCAACCAGCCATTTACACAGACACATGATAGTCATCTTGCTGTCTAGGGCTATTCAGAATGAAATACAAATGGAAAGAAGAGGGAGAGAACATACAGAAGTGATGTTGCTCTCATCCATGCTGCCAATCAACACACTCCACTTCATTTGGTCAGATGGACACACAATTATCTACTTGAACTAGACAACTCCAGCTGAGGATACTAGATAACTTTTCACCTACCTGACACAGACTATCACTTATCCATACTGGCCTTAAACTCCTGGTCAATGCACATGCTAGATAGATTCCTTTAAATCACAGGAAAGGAATATTTTTTTCACTTTGGATAGATAGTTTAGTTCCTATGGTTATGGGTAAAAATTAGGGCTATGCAAAATTTTGCTGTTTTGTTCCAACACTGTTTTGACTAATTTTGAGGTTGAAACAGCAAAACTGCAACGAAACAAAGGCTGTCGAAGTAGCCTCGAAACAAAATGAGGCTAGTCCAAATGTTTTGAAAGGCTAAACATTTCAGCCATAGGCTGGGGATGAGAAGTCAGCCCAGCTGGGCTGACTTTCCATCCCCAGCGCAAGATCCGGCAGGGAATGGGGGCTTCAGCCCAGCTGAGCTGCTTTCCTCATCCCCCAGTGTGATGTAGCATGGGGGATGGGAAAGCAGCCCAGCTGAGCTGCCTCCTGCCCCCAGCGTGATCTAGTGCGGGGGATGCAGAAGCAGCCCAGCTGGACTGCCTCCCACCCCCAGCACAATCTAGCGCAGGGGATGGGAAAGCAGCCCAGCTGGGCTGACTCCCAGACCCTGGCCCGATCTAGCACTGGGGATGGGAAGTCAGCACAGCTGGGCTGACTTCCCATCCCCATTGAAACTTCAAAATAGTGTCAAAACAGCCTTTCCGTTTCGATGGAACGGAATGGAACAGCTGTTTCGAATCAAAATTAAATTTGAAACGGAACGCTGTTCCGTCGAACCGTCAAAACTCAAGGTGAAACAGAACAGTGCTGTTTCGCACAGCCCTAGTAAAAATGTCAAGCCACAGTTATAACAAAGAACAATTTAATTAGCCAGCCTTCATTTTCCAAGCAGGAGCATTGTTTCCATTTTAGTGGCCTAAGAGTTTATAAGGAGTATAGGATCTCAGAAGGATCTAAACACAGAAGGAGGATAGGATCACAAGACGCAGGAGGTGATAGTGCCTCTTTACTTGGCACTGGTTAGGCCTCTTCTGGCATGGTTTGTGCAGTTCTGGGCTCCACATTTTCAAAAGGACATGGGGAAGTTAGAGGGGGTCAAGAGGTGGGCAACAAAGATAATAAAGGCTTTGAAAAGCAAGTCATATGAGGAGAGACTGAAGGAGTTAGGCATGTTCAGCTTGCAGAAAAGGCACTTAAGAGGGGACATGATAGCAGTCAAATACCTGAAGGGCTGCCATAAAGAAGGAAAACATCTTTTCTCTTTTGCTGCAGAGAGGACATGGACAAATGGCTTGAAATTGCAGCAAAATTAGTTTATTGGGAAAATCTCACTGTTAGAACAGTGAGGCAGTGTAATAGACTGCCTAGGGAAGTTACAGACTCTCCATCACTGAAGGTGTTTAAGAAAAGGCCACTGGTCAGGGATGATCTAGGTGTAGCTATGACTGGCTATTTCCCATGCTTCTGGGCTTTGTTGGTTGTCTCTGTTCTTCTCTCCTCTCCCACCCCCACACACTTTTTTTTTCTTCTTTATACATCAGGGTGTTTTGAAGCCTTCCCAGAGGCACTGGCTGTTGGGTACAGCCAAGGTTTGGGACTTTGGGGTATGCCAATGCTCCTGCTTGGACCAAAGCTGGAGGTTCCTGGCTAGAGGGTCTTGCCCCACTGCTCAGGGTCAGACTGATCATCGTATTTGGGATCAGGAAGGAATTTTAACCCATGGTCAGATTTGTATGGACTGGGGGGTTTTGTCTTCCTCTACAGCAGGGAGGAGCATGGCCCTCTAACCCTGGACCTCTTGAGCATTTATTGACAACATTTTATAGAAGCAAGACATTGGCTCTTGTGGTTTTCCTGCTTTACCTGTGGCAGGTTAGGATGTTAGGTCTATGTTGCGTCAGGGTTATGTGTTACGCAGAGTTTACGTTATGGTTTGGATGGGATGATCTGGATAGGGATGATCCTGCCTAAAGCAGGGGGTTGGACTAGATGACCTCTGGAAGTCCCTTCCAGCAATACTTCTCTATGATGCCATAACTCTAGGTAAGGATATTATTTTTGTTACAAGCCTAGTCTCCTATGGCCTTCACTCAGAATACTACAACCTCCAAATGTTTACACCTGAAAATTCTGTATCACTGCACCTTTTGGGCCAACAGAGTAGCTGCTGATCAATATTGGAGGAGGTTTTCATAGGTTGCTTCAGGAGTATCTAGTCACCCTCACTCCTCTTCATGCTTGGTGAATGAACTTTATTGTATACTAGCAAATTGCTCATCAGGAATGACAGGGGAAGGGGAGCTGGCAGGGATGGAGCCCCACATCCAGCCCTGCACCCCACTTCCCCCCTGGTTTAGGTCTGACCCTGTCCCTCCTTTCCTCCTCTCTGCTTCAGGTCCGACCCCACTCCACCCCACTTTGGGTCCGCCCCTCTCCCTGCCTCAGTTCAGGTCTGATCCCACTCCACCCCCTCCACCCACTTTGGGTCTGACCCCGCTCCCCACCCTGCTTCAGGTCCCCCCCTCCTCCTCCCCCCGCTCCGTTTGGGTCCGACCTTGCTCCTCTTCCTCCCCGCTTTCGGGTCCGACCCCGCTATGACAGAGGGGCTCCCACTTTAAAAGGAGCGGGGCTAGCTGAGAAAAAGTGCTTGTGCAAAATTATTTTTTTTGCCTCTGTGGAGGTGGGGCAGAGGGAATCGCCACACTGGAGGCTGCAGGAAGAGGTGGGGCCAGCAGAGGGGAGCCTGCCTTTCTTCAGCTGGCCCTGCTGCTTGTAAAGTGCTCATGCCAATTTATTTTTTTTGTCGCGTAAAGGTGGGGCGGAGGGAGCCGCCACACCTGAGGCTGCAGGAGGCGGCGGCGCCAGCAGAGCTCCCATTTTAACTCAGCCAATTGGCACATGTGCAGTTGGGCAAAAGTGTTACAGACAGACAGATAGGCAGACTAAGCCTTTTATTATATTAAATAATTAACAACCCATGAATTAACTCATTTCATATTCATTTAAAGGTGTCCTCTTTACTTCTCTTTACTAAGCCACAAGAAACTCTTGCTGTAGATGCCAGCTCTCATGTCTTTCTCAGAAGCTGCAAATCTAAACCATCTTCCATTGTTTCTCACCCAGCTGATGATCCATGGTGTCTCCTAGGTGTCAGGAAATAAAAAACGACCGACCAATCCGCATACATCTGCCCATGTCACAGTAATGCACTGATCACGAAGAGTTAACAGTGGCAGTGCACTACACTACACATGCGCAGTAAAGCCCCGGCCCTTTGTTGTAAACCAAGGCCGCATTGGCTGAGGCCAAGGGGCAAAATTGCTACATAACTTACGATTGGCTACTTCTAAACACTGCCCATTGGCCGACCTAAAATTATACCCACTTGGCAATTAGTGATTGGCTTGCTAAACATACAGAGGTAAGAGCAGTTTCCGCCTTCGTTGGAGAACTCCGTACGCATCCTGGAGTAAACTTGGCGGACTGATCACCCACCGACTCCCCGCCACCGGTTGTACCTGACGTAACCCCACCCGGCGCGCAAAACCGAACCAACCCGGCTACCTAGTCTGTAACCGCTGCTTATGTTTGTAACTGCAATCAAAGCCAGCTTCTTCCCACGCTGCATACATCAGCGGCGTAAGTAAACAATCTATTTGTAACCAATACGCATCCGTGCCTAGTTCCTCTCCACACATCGAAGTACCCAACCTGACGTGGCAGGCACCTTAAGAGGGCCTGCCTAACTAGCCGCCCCTCGCGGGGGGGAATCTCAGAAAGCGTCCGCGACACTAGGGAACACAGAGACATTTATTGAGCCTTCAGAGGTTATGTCATAGTCTCATGTTCAATAGGTTTTACTTCTCACAACCCCATAGATAAAATGACAGTAACTTGCCATATTACTTAACATTTTCCACAATTTAAATTAAGATTTTTAATCTGACAGTGACCCTTTCACAACAGTTATATTTTATAGTTTTGATTGAGTGCGCACAGCAAAGGTTTTTGTTGGAGTAAGACATGCTTAATGTTTGCCTTAAAGTTTTTCTTTTTAAATGAAGGGGACTTGGCAGTGCTTCTGACTTAATTTTATGTATGCACATAATTATAACAATAAAGAAATTGAAATGTATTTGAAGAATCAACTTCACTAGAGAAACTAAAATTAGTATATATTTATGGAAAAAAAATTAACATTACTAGATTTACCAACATTCCAGATTTAAGTGACAGTCCAAATTCATGCCAGAGAACCTGAGGTCTTTAGGGAAGAAGTGCTTAAAGAGACAGCAAGTTAGAGCAGAAAAATCTGGAAACAAAAGAGATTCCATACAAAAGAGACAACACCCATTTAGTCTGAAAAAAAGAGGATGGAGAGATGAAAAACAGGTATTATGCCAAAGATATGGCCAGCTGGATGCATAACTACCCATTTATATATCATCTCAGCTTTTTAACTCCAAATCTGATGTCACAATATTCTCTCACCTGTCTCTCCTTCTTCCATTTCCTGTTCTGACTTATGCAGATGGACTTCTCTTCTGGACAGTCAGGCTGGTAGATGCCAAACTGAGTATTAAATTTATGCAAGTTTATAAACGTCAAATTAAAAGATCAGCCATAATAGTGTAACTTTACTTTCAGATAAAATGTTTAAAAATACAACATGAAGAGAATTAAACCAACTTATATAAAATTCTGACCTAAGCTAAAGAACACACGTGAACATTCAGAGTTAAAGATAATGATCAGAAGCTTGATTTAGCTGAGAGCCAAGACAGTTTACACTGCTGTACTCTAGGGCAGCTGGCCCTTAGCAGCAGAAAGTCTGTCTGGAAATACACCTATAATTCTTGCTGCAGTAGATACAAGAAGCCACCTGGTGCTGCCACTGATACGGTTTGCTGAGACATTAAGATGATGGAATCATGAGCACCCTCACTGGTTGGGCTTGAAGTGAGGAGCAAGAGTGATGGGATAGGACTGTTGAACAAGGTAAACAAGGAGAAACTGAGGGGGAAATAGGATAAAGAATAAAAGGAAGGGAAATAAAAAATAGCAGGAATAAGGAAATTAGGCAGCTGAAAGGTGCCCAATAACAGGAGAGGTACAAATAAAAATATACCTGAGAAGAAGCATGTGGTGCTAAATGATTACCTAGGTACAGATACATGTTCTCAATTAAGTACTGGCACGATAGATTTGTCAAATTTTAAAAAGTTAAAAATAGTACTAATGTACTAAGAAAAATACCATCCCCTATCTGGTACAAACCACTGATCAAAGGAAAGGGGTCTCTTGTCACCCAGACAGCAGTGCCCATCCACGTGCTGTGGCTTCTTTGACAGACAAAAAGAGGCAAGCTGTGCAAAGGGTTTGGACAAATGTAACAATACTTAGGCAAAAGAGCCAGTCAGAACAAATCAAAACTTTATTTAATTCTTAATTTTTATTGGACTAAATATGTATCATGCTAGTAAAAGCAAACAAATATTAGACTTGCAAAAACTTACACAAGAAGAAAACCTGAAACCTTTAAATAACTTGTACAGAGATATGCCAAATAGTTTGGTGATAATTTGTGTACAGGAAATGTGCCAATGCCTTTGAATACTGAATACACATTAAACCTGGAGGAACAGCAAAATGCAAATATATTCCTGTATGCACATGGTGGTGAATACAACAAGCACACTGGATTTAATACATCTGTAACACAGTTTAAGAAAACTAATGTATTCAATAATTAAATAGATAAGATTATTCAGCAATGGTAAACACTGTCAATTAGCAGCTGTTACAACTCCAGAAACATTTCAATAGCAGCTATCTTCTTTTCACTGAAATTTAAATACTTTTCTTCTTTTTCTTTTCAGATTCTTCTTTTTCTTTCTCTATTTCAGCAACTTGTGATTCGATGTCCTTTGCACTAAAAATCTGAATGGGACAAAGTACAGTATAAGTGTAAATAATGTAGATTCCACGTGCAATCCTATAATTCAGGACTGTTCAACTTCAGCAGAGCTGGGGGCTACTAGGGGCCCAGGTTCTCCCCCACCACATGGCAGTGGGAAAGATGGCCAGCAGTTGAATAGCTCTGGTATTATCTATAAAATTCAATTCTGTATTACAATTCTAAAATGTACTACTAATGCATTATAAAAGTTTGGAAAACTTTCTGAATTACAAATCAATAATCAGATTTTTGTTGGTTTTTTTCACTTTCTTTTATTAAAGTAAAAAAGGGAAGTTATCAGTAACTGTAATTTTCCACACACACATTCTCCCATACAGGTGACCTCAGCCACTAAGCCATTTGACCAAACACATTTTTGTCTTAGCAGTTTGTGCACAAGAGCACCTCAGCCCCTTCCCTCCACCAGGTAAAGGATGGAGTGTCTATCCCTGCTGTAACTGACAGGAAACACAGGAGAGTTTCAGAGAGAGACTGAAGGAAATGGGTGAGGAAGGCAAGGTTCAAAAGTGCACGTGGATAATTCTTCTCAAAAGAAGTACAATTATTGGGAAGTAACTTTCCTTTCTCCTTTGAATAGCTGTTCTCACATACAGACATTCTCACCTGTGGGTGATTCCAAAAGCAGTGCCCACAAACACCTGGAGATGGGATTCCAGAGTCTCTTCGGGCACAGATTCCCTGAAGTACTGCTCTAACACAGCTGATATCATTTGGGGAATCCTCCACAACTGTATAGGGCTTAGTGAAAGTATCGTCTGCACTCCCTGTTAGTACTTTGCCAATGTTTGATGCAGAGACTATGAAGGAGGAGGCAGCAGAGGTAGCCAGAGCCCTGGCGGAGTACACTCACATTATGGAAAAAGGGTTCACCTTAGCCAATGGGTAACTGAGTCTAGTATAACTGGAAACCCAGTTGGAAAGACTTCAGGAGGAAATAACTGACTTTTTGGATCTCCTGGCTATAGCCACAAATAGGGGTGGGAGCCTCCAAAAGAGTTTGGTCCTGTGCAAAAAATATATCAGAGCCCTCTTCACATTCAAACTGTGAAGAACAGCCTCAGTCTCTAAATCATGCGGCTTTGGGGAAAAAGACCAATCACAGAATTTATTGGCTGAGGTGGAATTGGCAGGAATCTGAGATGGGTACAGAAGGTCCTATACAGAGGACTTGCCGATGCAAGGGCTTGCCCTATACATTAGGACTTGGATCTCACTAACTAGCTGGTGATTAAGTCCACCAAACTAGAAGACCATTTTCACAGACCTATACTGGAATGAGTGGAAGATGCCACTGGCTTAAACAGGGGTTGGCAACATACAGCCCATGGAGTCATTAAATCCGGTTTGTGGAGTCTGAGGGCTTTGCTTGTGCCTGTGCCCAGACTGGGGACAGGTAGCAATGGCAGTGAATCTTTAACAGCTTGTTAAAGATTGCTGACTGCTGGTTTAAATGGTACAGACATTAGTGACAAGGTTCAGACCATATTGAGGAATTGGGTCCTTGGTGCACTAGAAGGTATTTGCCACTGTTTTTAGAAGCTTCAGCATGACAGCATGAAAGAAAACTAGCCAGCTTTTAGCTGGAAACAAATGACCCTTAAAGGAGAGGTATCAGGGGCCCTTGGGTCCAACAAGGTAGTCTAGAGTCTAGGATATTTGGAGTTGATGACATGTTAGACACCATGAAAATAATGAAAAAGTAGGTGCATGTTGCAGATGCCCTCCTGATATGTTAGGATGCTCCCAATGGGGATGGACCAGACATACGCTAGCTGTCAGAGCCATCTAGGATCCAGGTGGTCAGATAGATTGTCCATAGGTCTTGGTGGTATACTCAGTCATCATTCTGAGAGAGCAGGTTAGGGAGCAGAGGTAGGAGAATGCAAACCTGTGCTGATAAGAGCATAAGATCCTGAAACCCAGATGATCTTGGTCAGGCTGGTGCTCTCAGAATGATTCAGGCTCAGTCTTATTGCACTTTTATAACTAGTAGAGGAATATAATAGGCCCTTATAGTACAGCATCCTAAAGGCACTGGAAAAGCAGCCCAGTTTGAGGCCTGCCTTGGAGTAGAAAAACAGATACTTTGTATTCTGCCTCATCACAAAACAAGGCTATTTTCAGAAAACCTCACACTAGGAAAAAGCTGGGAGACAGCAGAGTCTTTGTTCTCCCATTTGTGATGTACTGTACTCAAAAAATCCATTGTCTCACTGTGAAGGCCATACAGGTGAACTCCTGAAATGTGGATGAAATGGCAAATGCCACAGTTGGGTAGATTCCTTGTTGAATAGGGAAGACCTAGTGCCTTCTGCTTGCTTACAGAATTCATAGATGTAGTACTGTCCATCAACATTTGTAAGTAGAAGCTCTCCAGATGGATGGTAGGAACACTGTGAAAGTCTGTCCGACTGCTCTCAGCTTGAGCACATTTACTTTAAGGGCCATATGAGGGGCTAAACTGCATTCTGTCAACATGTGCTGCCCAACTGATTTGAGGCATCTGTTAACAATGAATCTATGGGCAATCATGGCTGAAGAGTACTCCAACTCAGCCAGGTGGTGGAGAGGAACTGATGAGCAGGGTATGCATTTTGCCTTTATCCCCTCAATCTGAGAAGGAGGCCTGAGAGGAAGAGCTAAAACACTCAGCATGAGTACTGCTAAGGTTAAAAAACAAAAACAAACCTTCAATCAAAAGGAACAGGAGCTGAGTCTACCCACACATCAGATGTATGTTTCTAAACCTGATCAGTTGAGACAGTTAGGGATGACCATTTTCCCCAAAAGAATTCATAAGCCGGATATTGTGAAAAGCAACTTCACTATGAGCAACTTCACTAACACTGCAACTGCAAAAGATAACCTAATGTTCACATTGGAACTCGACTATTTTTTAAAGCAGATTGTCACGTTGTGTGATGGCTTCGTTTTCTTGGGTTGAACAGTAGTAATTAAATGAATTCAGCAGTCAGTCATTCAGACCTCTAGCTGGAATAGATTTCCTTTCATTCCTTATACATATTTACTCAAGTCTTCAGACTGACTAGGGGTGTTAGAAATATGTACATTATTACTGTAAGAAAACAGAACATACAAGAATAAAGCCCTGTTTACTACCCCTTCTTTAGAAAGCGGGGTGCCTATGGCACAGGGTGACCTTTTCCTTTGAATGTTATATCACCCAGATAACAGGAAAGAATATTATGAGTCAGTTTCATGTGTGTAATGCATGACGTTCTCTTTCAAAGAGTGATGATGTGTTTTCAGTCCCCATGTATTCCCAGAAGCACCATGTCCTGGATAGCTCCTGCTGGGTTCCACTTTAATAGGGCCTTACAGCCAAAAGCTTATTCTCAAATGTTGTACTTTCTATCCCCCTGTCTTTGATTATACATGTAGATCATTTCTGGCTGAACTACTAGCCAGCAACCTTAAACTGGCAAGTTATAATTTGTTTTCATGCATTCTGTTTGAAGATAAATCACTATTTGAAAACATGGGTTTTCTGAATCTGAAAAGGGATCTATACTCCCCCTTCTTCAACCCCATGTTTTAAACAATCAAAAGTATGAGTGAAGTATGGTGAATTCACTGACTCTGACCTGCAAAGAAAAGCATATTGATTTGAACTTTTTACTTTTTTGTGATAACTAATAAAGAACAATCATATGGTTTTATTTCCCTCTTCTCTGCCCTTCAAAAATCTTCTCTCTCTTATTTTTAGATTAAAAATTCAAACTCTGTCCAAGCTGGAAGAAAAGAGGGGGACCAGAGCATTAGTGAAATCATATAAACATCAATAATGCTGAAGTGGAGCAAAAGAAAAACACTTATCCTAAACTTTTCACTTGTAGGAATCTAAAGCACTATATAAAATGTGTTGAGAAAAGATAAAACATTTCAAAGTTCAAGGGCTTCATCAAGTCTTTCTGAACTTTCATGGTCAGCCTGACAGTTAAATGAATGTAGGCAAAGAACCAATCCTTCAGTAATACTTGGAAGAACTTGCACCATTTACAGTCAGCTATCAGAAGAACACTGATACTCGGATTAAGCTCAAGAAGAGCTTTGCTCAAAACACAAGAAATCTTTCATATAATAAAGGATAGCACTCCTCTGATAGAAGGATTTTTAATTCCACTTGTGAAGAAAACTCAGTGGGCTTTCTTTTTTTGCTTGGGTTTTTTTAAACATACACACCCATGAACACACACTACCAGCAAGTCACAAACTAAGTAAGCAGCCATGTACTTAAGTCCCTGGTGAGGTTCAACTCAGTCAGCATAAGACAATTAACACTAACAGCACCACCATGTTCAGCATCCTTGTGGGGGGAAGGACAGGTGTGCCCAGCTTTTACATGATAGCCTAATGGCTAGAGCAGTCACCAAGAAAGTGGGAGTCCTAGGTTACAGGATTCTTCAGCCTGCTTGGACTGAAACCCTTATTTTGTCCCAGGAGAATGCCACAATCATCTGGCTACAGGCTAGGCTGGGGGTGCTAGAATATGTAAATCCTGAGTTCTGATCCCCATTCCCAACTGGTATGAATTTTGTAGTAGTCATCATAAAATGTGGAGTCTTGGGAATAGGGACCAGAACCCAGGACTTTCCCCCTCCAATAGCAAGGTCCTCATCACTGGCCTAGTGAATCAGACTCCATCTTGATTATTCTTGTTCCGGATTCTTGTGGCCCAACTTCTACAAAAGGGTGAAGACTAGGCCTGGTAGCTAGACCATAGTCCTGAGAAATCAGAAAGATGAGTCTGAACGCTCATAGGCTGAAACAGGTCTACAACCCAGGTCTACCACTTCCTGGGCAAATGCTCTAAACACTCAGCTACAATGTAAGAGTCAGGTAGGCACACATCATCACCACTGATAGATATGCTTCAAAAATAGCAAGCCAGTCACATCTACATGAAAGGATGATTTAGGTGCGTACGCCTATGTGGCAGTTTGTGGTATGAATTTTTTCATATAGACCCTAACCTGAGTCCAAGAGACAAAGAATTTCAAACTTCAGCATTTGCTGTTGGGTGGCTTAGTGTGCTACAGATCAAAACATTTTTACAAACCTTGTGCTTTGGAATGTGTTGTGCATGACATCTTCAAAGGGGAGTCCTATGTTCACTCAGTATCCTGCTACAAAGCCTCTCTCTTCTGCAGAGAATTGTGGTTTGGCTACCTGCAATGCCCAAGAAACTATTTTCTAAATGTATATTGACTGGGGAAAAGTAATTAACTAATAAAATGACAGATTTCTTTTTTGAAGCTCAGTCTTTTGCACGACTAAGTTCTACAACTGAAAAATAGAGAGGTGCAAATATTCTAAAATTTATAAAAAAGTATTTTTAGGGTAAAAAAAAAAAATCAACATGGCTACTTATCCATTATCAAACATGGATTTAGGGGAGAGGTTGGGATTCTTCCAATATAAACTAATAACATGAAGAGAGAGGTATAAGGGTTTTCATAAGACAAGAAAACCAGTATGAATAGTAGTAGTATGAACAGTATGAAACTTGTTGACCAGTAAGAATAGGAATAAAGGAGGTCACCTTTCTGTGCCTAGAGGGAAAACAGGACTAGAGGATGAAAAAGTGTTTGTTTTGAACTTCCATTTATATGATTTCTTTTGGTTTTTTATCATGTTTCCTTTTTCATATAACATTAGAATTTTCTTAACTTCAGCCAAAAGGATTCAGAAGTTAGGGCAACCATTTATCATGGGTGACCACCAGTATCTGGGGGAACGTTTGTTCACCAGAGCGCCCCTAGGGATGACGACTAGGTCGAATGGTCATAAACTACTACAAGACCGTTTCAGGCTGGACATAAGGAAGAATTTCTTTACTGTCCGAGCCCCCAAGGTCTGGAACAGCCTGCCACCGGAGGTGGTTCAAGCGCCTTCATTGAACACCTTCAAGAGGAAACTGGATGCTTATCTTGCTGGGATCCTATGACCCCAGCTGACTTCCTGCCCTTTGTGCAGGGGGCTGGACTCGATGATCTTCCGAGGTCCGTTCCAGCCCTAATGTCTATGAAATCTATGTTGCTAGTATAAACAAACTCCAGTATTCAGAATTTCCTGCTGGATTAGTGGTCAATTTTAAAAAGCGAAAATTATCCAATCAGTTTTTAAAAAGAGATTTGCATCATTACCACATATTACCAAGAAACCATGCAAATCAAATAGTACCAAAGTGCAGGGAATTTATTCTTTAAAATCCCATAGGAATAAAGCAGGAGCCAAGGATGGCTCTTGCCATCCATGGATTCCAGGATATCTTAAACACTACAGAAAAATATTGTAGAGATTAGCAGGGATGTTCCACAGTTTATTTTGGGGGATACTCTGTCCTGTCATGACAGAATAACACTGGAGAAACTTTGTGGAGAATTTTGCAAAGATTCTCTCTCTGGACACAAGTAAATCTGTAGTGATTTCAAAGGGAACATTTCAAAAGGGCAGCAGCTGTTCTAATTGTTATGTGTGGGCAAGCAAGGACCAATATAAATTTAGCAAGAGACTGAATGAAGCAGTCTCTTTATCTACACGGTGTGAGTCTGACTGCAAGAAAGGAGGATGAGCTGCTCAGGCTGCAATGATGAATGCCATTTTGCAGAAGATATATTTAGTCAGTGGACAAGCCATCGTTTATCTTAATCAGTCAAAATCTTTTGACTGCATTCCCAAGATTTGCCTCTAGATTTGCGTTTCTTCAAGGTACAGCAGAAATAACTGAAAGCTCCAATATTCCAAAGAAACCTTGGCATTTGGGACTAAAGACTGAATTTTACATCTTAGTACCATTTCAGACAGCTCAAGTAGTTATTTAAGTTTCTTTAGAAAAAGATTATGTATGCTTGTATGTCAAGAATTAAAAATGGAATTGTTCATTGCAAATGAAATGAAGCACAGCATAAGTCTTATTTTCAGTTTACGTTTTTGAGCCAGGAGTCTGTCTTTTCCATGAAAACAGCAACTATGAAGAAGTCACGATATGTTTCTAGGAAGGATTACATTGTAAAAATGGTTCTCTATAACTGTACAATAATAAAAGTTACTTTTATTTTTCAACAATTAACTTAAAATAGTATTTTTCTCCCCCCAGCACATGCACACACGCGCGCGCACACACACTTTTGCAGGTTTCCTCAAAACTGTTTTCCCCACTGAAAATCCCCAACACAGTTTCTTATAGTATATTATAAATTAGCAGCAGCTACTATAGCTCACAGCACTATCAATCTACAGGGACACAACAGAAGTCACATAACATTTTACCACCAGATGTTAGGGGACACTTCATACATCAAGCAGAAATGCACAGGTGTCAACTAGAATAATTTTTGTCAGAAGTTATCTTTTTATTCCTATTAAATCAATAACTCATACCTGCAGTGGTTGATTTCTCCTGATTATGGCAAGTTCAATGTTTTTTCCACCAGACTGCACAACCTAGTGTACAATAAGAACATCAAAACAAGTATGTTTACAAAACATTTTGTGTTTTCATAACGTGAAGAAATACGAGCTTTTCTCTAAAGCTTTATTGTATACATTGAATTGGATCACTTACTTCTAGCAACGCTCTTATTGCTAATTTGATAGTTTCCCTGTCAGTTGCTATAGCTTCTTCTTTGTAATTCTTTTCCAAAAATTCTCGCACAGCTTTAGCATTGCGACCAATTGCATTAGCCTGTTTAAGACAGACAGACAAGAATCATACTTCATTACAGCTTTGATTTATCAATCCCCCTACCATTACTATGCAACATGCAATTTAGGTTTTCATGTTTGCTGAAAAAAGATGTTCTTTCACTATTTGCATGTTGAATACCACATTTTCAACACCTTCCTCAGACCATTAAGTTTTTTACAGAAAAGAAGTAAAAACAATATAATAAAAGCTTGCTAATTTGAAACTGTAAAAATATTATGAGTGGTGCCAGGTATTGAGGTAGCTGAGGATATGAATATATGAGAACAGTGGTTTTCTAAACTCTTCACATAAGAATCTCTTTTTCACACCATGCTAAGAGCTTCTCCTCTGCTTGTGACCACCAGGCTGAGAATCTATGTCATATGTTTTCCCTGAAAAAAAGTATTCTGAGAAAGCCAAGCAAGTCAGAGACGTATTCTGCAAAGCAGGATCACATTTAGCAATTCAATATTTTGCCATGTGGAAGCCAAGAAATTCAATTTCAAGAGAAACTTCTGATGTTCAGTTCACATTTCTTTGCATCAAATAGAGAAAAATAATGCAATGGGATTAAGGTGAATAAAATACAAAACGTTTCAGTCCTCCTTACAACTTCTTTGCTGCTGGTGAATTGGATGATGTACCTAAATAGTCTCATGTGCAAAAAGCTAGATACTTAGTGATAAAGCTGTTAGTTTTTCCTGTCACAGCTTGAGTACTATCAGTGCAAATATCTACAGATGGTATTCCCTCTCTGTGTAGTGGAGAATGAAAAAGACAGGCTTTGTATATGGAGCATTCATGTTCAGAATGAACAAAGGTTAAAAGTTATGCAGGAGGTGGCACATCTGTAACGTCATCCCATTTGCATTAAGAAGTACTGAATCTCTTGAACTCTTCTAAACATCTGCTTTTGAGCATCTGCACCCATGTCATGAATTTGTTAGCTTACTATATCATTGGAAGTGTATGCAGCTTTAACTTGACTGCCAGCAACTGATCTCTGTCTAAAACTTTGATAACAAAGGACTCAGTCAGCATTTTCCCAGTTATGTGGTTTGGCATCTTTCACTACTCACAATAAGAAAAACATCTTCAGAAGGTTGCCATGTTTACAACATTGCCATTAATAAAACAGCCTGATTCTGTAAACACACAAGGTTTCACCAGAAAAATCCAAATGGCTCAGTGCTCAATCCATTTAAAATCCATATGTGTACCCCAGACTCCTTTGCCAGCTATTGCAACAACTCCTTTGAAGTACTGTGTTATCTCATGAGCCTGCTGACGTGTGTTTTGGTCTGAGTTCACTAGAGAGGAAAGTCAGGATGCATGAAGCAGATTTACAGGACACGGAAGAAACAAATGGTGTTTAGGACTGCCCTGCTTTCTGGCTCTAAAGAATAGAGCAGAGACCATGGACTGCAATCCAATTAACCTCCCTTGAGGCAAACGTTGGAGCATCACAAGCAGGTAACAGGCAGGTCCCAGCACAGCAGGGAGACTGAAAAAAAAAATAGGATGGGCACCTAGCTGAAGAACAGCAGCAAATTCCAAAGCAAAAATGCTCCTTTAACAGCATCAAGTTATCTCAGCAACCTACATTTAAAAAACAAAGAAGAAAAACTAAGAAATTAGAATAAATGGAGTGGTTGGGACTGCTGCTTAAATCCTACCCACAAATTCCAAGGCCAAGAACCTCAGTGTTAAAACAAAAGGAAAATAAAGAAGAACCAACATTGTGGGAAGAGTAAGAATAGCTTTTACTTCACGTATCTATTACCCTACGGATACAATTCACTGCTTAGGATTCCTGAATACAGATATCTCAAGCTGTTTACCTATGGGTGTGATCATACACCAGAACTAAGCCAAATGCTGTGGCAGGCAGCAGTGAGGCTTTAAGGTCATGATCTAAGATGTGTTGAAAATTAACAAAGAATTACATTTGTAAAATCACTAGTTACATAGTGAACACAACAATGGAAAAGATTTGATCAATAAAAATATTCACCTGGAAGCAACATCATCTTGATCTGAAAATAATACCTGCTACTCAACTTTCTCTACCAAACATTTATGTGGGTTTTTTTTAATAACAGCCTCAAACAGAACAAAGATCTTGTAAACCGTGTGCTAGTATACCTCACAGCGCTCATATACCCTTTTCACACCTTTTCCTTTCCTCAAAGCAACTATGCCTTCAATCCTGGATTAAAACAGAACCAGAAAGAAAGCGTAAACAAATTCAATTCCACACTGAGGATTTACAAGAAAAACCAATTAAATTCTGATCTACAAATAAGCAAAAAACAGAAACTACAGAAATACATTAAATGAAGGCCTTTACGCTGAGTTACGCTTTTTTGTTTTATAACTAAACAGATACCAAACTATAGTGGGGATTCTAATAGAGATGTATCCCACGATCAGCACAGTTAGCTCCAAAAGCAGTTAGATCTGACAATTCCTTCTGCCAGCTCAGTCCTTTAGTTTACTGTCCAAGGCTGTGTCCAGACAAGCGCGGATGTTTGGTTCCCTGGGGACAAGTAGCAGTGGTGCACCTTACGCCACGGCTACTTGTCCCCAGGGAATGCCTGTGCCAAGCACACTTTGGCATGTGGCAAGTTACCCCAGGGGTGACAAGGGAGGCTGACTGTGCAGTATATGGTGCTGTAGATGTGTTTGCGGCACCACATATTGCCAACTGCGCTCATCTGGACACACTCCAAGAGTTCCATCTCTGATCTGCCTCTCTCTTAACTGGCATCTCCTTTCAATCCATGCTCCCTGCCATTCCAGAGCCATCCACTCCACATTCCTGACACTGAAAGATGTTTTGACTGAATCAGATAAAGTGAGCAAACCAAATATAATTCTTTTGCCTCTTTCCTCTCTCTTTTTGCTTTCTGCTTAATGCAACTCAAGACCAGACAAATACATTCTTACAACACCTTCAGTCAGAGAGGCTACCAGAGTTCCGACTAGGTCAGTAGCAACAGCAGAATATTACAGGTAAAGAATCTGTAGAAAAGGTTGAAGTACCGTCTTCTGTCTTGCTCCCCATTTCTTGCACTTGAAGTCAAGGGTTAGAATTCCTAGCAACAGCAGCTGTAAGCAACACTAACCCAAATTTATCTACAACAAAAATTGTAACTATGATTAATTGCAACCTTTATCTGCTTTCAAAGAGAGTCAGAATGTAAGTGGTCAAGATTGAACTACACAGAATCTATATCTTTGGAAGTTTTCAGGAGTAGGTTAGATGGACACATGGCTGGGATGGTTTAGCTGGGGATGATCCTGTCTTGAGCAGGGGGCTGGACTAGATGGCCTTGTGAAGTCCTTTCCAGCCTTACTTTCCTATGATCCTATAGAAATCTTAGAAGGATGAAAAACATCAAACAAAAATTCAAATTTCAAATCATGACAGTCTTAAATGACCTATAACAGAAAGTTTGACTCACTGCCTACAAAAATACATTTTCTGCTGTTTTTAGAATAAATATGGGAATTTTCAAGCCATTCCTCATTTTTATGTTAAAGTTTGAGAATAGGGAAATAGAGATTTACAATGAAATCTGGTTTCAACATTTGTTATGCAGAGATTGCCTCTTCATAAAATCAGTGACATTATACAGCCACTCACCATATTGTACAACTAATATGATTACTGCTCTTAAGAAATTTTAGTCTGTTTTCTTATATTTTGCTTTAAGGTCATTACTGCTTTACTTCTTAGGCTAAGTAAGCTTCAGTGGCCAAAACAACTAACCTGCTTGCTGATTCCAAAAGTCTGTGGATCCCTGATATAAAAAGTAGCATCAGAATCACTGAAATACACTATGCAAAGATTTCCACTAAGTTTTATAACAGTATAATTTATTAACTGAGCTGCAGCTTACCTTCCAAGAATGATATGTGCCAGATGGATCTGTTTGGTACAGTCTGGGACTACCATCATCATCAAAGCCCACAATCAAGGCAGAAATACCAAATGGTCTACGTCCATTGCTCTGTGTGTAACGCTAAGAACAAATTGCACAGTTTTAACATTCTAGATACTGAAAATATTATCTGTGCGATTCATGTGAAACCAAATGTTGAAAAGGTTCTGAACAACAATTAAATCTATATGTGATCATTATTGATCTGCCATTAGAAAAACGCAATTCCTAGTATTTGGGATTAAATTCTGTCCTCTTCTACATTTGCATAACCTTACTGATATTGTACAGAAATAACTAATAGTAAATTTTGACTTTTAGTGAGACCCAAAGTCATGTAGATGTTTAATTTACAACTAGATAATAGGACAATAATAGACAATAGAAATTAAAAACTAATCAGCTTACTTTTTAATATTTTTACTTAAAGCCACTACAGACATGGAGTGGGCATTGTGATAAGCAGATTCCAGTGGGCACAACCCAACAGATTTGATTGATTAGATTGCTCATAACTGTTCCGTTAAGCTTTAAAAGGGTATTTTGAAATTGAGGCTCTATGTTTATAAATTTCACCTTCAGTTCAGCCTTTCACACTACTGATTTTAAAAATGTTATTAAAATGGAGCTTTTAACTTAATTTTCTTTATATAATAATGCTGTAATCTGTCCTTGTCTTAGGAATGATCATAGATTCCTGGTCCTCCACACTCACTAGAAAACACTAGAGGGCAATACTAAGTGGACAATAATAAAAATCATGCAGCATCAGTGTGAGGCCAGATTAAAAGCTACATATGGATATGCATCTCTCTCTCCCCATCACACTACACTTGTCCATTATTATTTCTAAACAAAGCAGGAAAGCTCTCGTCTATTTCCTTAACACATGAAAGTAGGAAGGGAAAGACATCTGCAGATACTCCCCAGAAGAGCTGAAAATTACTAACTTTGTTTCTTACAAATATTATTTATTCTTTAAAAGTCCTGTGCTAGAAAATTTGGCTTATTTCCCTTCTTTACTGGTAATGTGACACATTTCCTACTTCTGCTCTTGTGTAATAGATTTCTGGATGCAGCTTTTTTGCTTTTTAAAAGTGTTACCTGAAGTGTTGCCTGAATGTCTTAATAGAAAACATAACTCCAAGGTGCTCACCTGCTTTAGAGTTGCTATATAGCGTGTTATATACTCTACTGTGACTGGATCCTCAACAGTAAGTTTATGGCTTTGACACTCCACACGGGCTCTATTAATTACTATTCTGGCATCAGCAGTCAGACCTGAATAATTATAATTATGAAACATGTCATAAAAGGTGTTTTCGTTATCAAACAAAGACTTTTTTATTCAAGAAGCAACATACTGTTATGAAAAAGAGAACATTTTGTTTTATGAGAAACAATTTGCTCAGAAATGGAGCATAGAGAGATAAAAAGCATCTACTCTAAACTGAAAATAGAAGTAACACAAATTAGTTCACCTCAGAAAACAGTATTTAAAGTAAAACTTCAGGTTATGAAAACTTTTAATTCACAAAATATGGATTTAATGGACACTTGCATTAATAGTGAAAAGAAACTAAGGAACTTCAAAGGAGGCTCCTGTCAACTTGAAATTTCATTTTAAAAAGTGTTGAAAATCAGTTTCTAAGTCTCCTGCCAATTTTTACTATCCTATTACCTTTTCCTTGTGTTTTTTTCCTCCCCTCTTACTTTGTGACTTACACAGAATAAAAATTATTATTAAAGGAAAATTAAAAATGACCATACACTAAGTGTGGCCAAAGTCAAAGTAAACAAATAGGGAAGAGGAGAAAAAAATGGAAAAATATTTTTCACAATTTGTGAAGAACACCCTCTTCAGTGTTTTCTTTAGAGTTCTGAAAATATCTTGCCTATTACTGCCAATTTAAATTAACTGTATATCTTTAATTCAGCATCGGATGAAGTTGGATGTAGTCTAATTTGTTCATGCCCCTCTGAACAAATTAGACTATAAGGTGCCACCCTGCTCTGCCTTCTACCTAACTTCAGTTTAACATGGCTACCTGACTCTCTCTAATTATCAAAGGTGGAAAGACAACCAAAGTATATTATACCTTCTCCCAAAGTAAGATATACTCTGCAAAATCTTTCTATTTAAACACAGTTGATAATGTAATTCAGATGCTTAAAACACATAAGAGTTTGTAGGCTGAGAACTTAATACTGAACTTAATAATTTTATGAAATGGACGGTATGATATGAAAGGGAGTTCTTGGTTTAACAAAAAAATGCTTGTGGTATGTAGAATCAATAATATGTACTCCCCAGATTGGTTTATACAGGTAACTCTCTTTTAGCAAGGAAGGTGTCTGGTAATTCCATGGGCTTTTGTTGGTCACCTACAGTGGTCAGGAATGAATTTTTCCCCTATTCATGAATCCTACTGAAAGTTGCCTTCCTCCGAAGTACTGAGATGTTGATTAAAACTAAGACAGGATTTTTCACTGGGGCGTGCTAACTTTCATACCAGTACTTAGAACATTCATAGGGTCCCTGGCTCTTCTACTCAGGGTCATATCAATTGCCAAATTTGAAGTGAGGAAGGAATTTTTCTCCTACATCAGATTGGTAAAGAACTGTGGGTGCTTTTGCCGCCTTCTGCAGCAGGGGGCAGGATCTTCTCAGCATATGCAAACCAACTAATTGATATTGGAAGTAACTTCATTTCCCAGGCTTTTACCACACTGATTACCATGACAGCAGTTTATGGAATTTTCTTCCCCACTTCCAAAACATAATTCCAGAGGTGGATACAGTAAAGGAAAGTTGTACATAAGCACTTTTCTAGCCCTGTACTGTCTCTCCCACTCTCATACTGGTATTTCAAATACTATCCAAGCTTCTTTTGAAGGGGGTGAGGGCATTATGTATGGGACCACAGGAAAAGGTCAAGCAAGAGGCATTCAGAGTTTTTTATGACTAAAATGTTTCCCATAATCCTCCAGTGATTTTTGGTTACGACATTCAAACCTGGCAGAAGAGAGGGCAAGGTGGCCCTTTCAAGACTAACTGGTTCAGAGAGGCACAAGCATTTGTAGGTTGCAGATTATTTCTTCAGAGGAAGTAGGCTGTCACCTATGAAAGCGTGCCCATCTGACTTTGTGGAGCCTCTCCCACGCGGCCCTGGAGCATGAGCTAGGAGTCTGCTGTGGAGACGACCCCTGCTGTCGTGAAGCAGGGTCACTTTCTCCCGAAGGATACCCCAATATGCTCCTGCCACGTCTTGAGTGTTATGTTCAGTAGTGGAGTTCTCTTCTGTCATGGGGAACACAACAGGCATTGTCACTAGGCGTGTTCCTGGGGCTCCACCTCCCCTACACCCCAGCCATGTGCCAGCCTATCGGGGCTGCCAAATGATGGATGATTCAGCTCCGCTTTGATGTGGTGTCCCACTCCCTCTCTGGTCGCAACAGCCGTTCTCCCTGCTGCCCGGATGTGCTTGGGGTGGTGAGATGACTTCAATGATGGGTCTAGCCTAGCCACGTTGGGATCACCTGAGCAGCCCTGGCCCACTCAGCCCTCAATGTCTGTCCTTTGGACTTTTCTCTGGCCCTGGGGCTTCAAGGTAAACTGAAATATAAATAAAGAACCAAAACTCCAGGGAGGGTCCTCCACCACCTCCCTAATCATGCATCCTGCATTTGCTGGCTTCGCCATACCTTGGCGTCCTCCTTCGGACCAACTTTAAATCAGGCTCTGGACCCTCCTGCTAGGTCTCTCTCTGGCCCCTCCTTGCTGGCGTCAGGAGGCCTCCATCTGGTTCAGGGGATGGTCCCGCATCTACCTCTCTGCTGCGTACCATCTGCTGATTTCTCGCTGCTGGCTTTTATCCCTGCAGCGTTCTTTGATGGCATCATCAGGACGCGCCAGCCCAGCCACAGAGAAAAGCGGCTGATGAACCGCATGGGCGCTCCGCCCCTCTGTGGCTTGTCTGGCCCAACTGTGCCTGAGGGAGGTAAATTTGCCCTGTTCTTGGGGCTTTTCTTCTTGTTGTTGTGGCGGGTTGTCCCCGCTGTGTGTCACGCTGTGGGAGCAGTCTCCCGCCCCTTTCTTATCGTCCCCCTGGGACAGAAAGCATATACTTCTCTGAGCCAGTTAGCCTCTAAGGTGTCAGTCTGTCCTGCCTTCTGCCTGTCTTCAGGCTAATGTGGTTAACTACCTCTTTCTACATTCAAACCTGTGATGAAGAACTGAAGGTCTCTGTATGCTTTTACCAATCTCCTGAACCATCCTGCCCATGTACACACAAGTCTTTAAAGGCCTTTACACAGCCTACATCTGCAATAAGATGTTCCACAGAACAAAATCACTTCTAAGTGATACCTGCAAAAGCCATGCAGACGTGATCATCAAGTGCACATATCTTTCTTACAGTTCTTTCTTCCTGAAGCTTGGCAACAGACTTTTTCTCTACCCCCAAGACAACTATGTCCAGCCCTCGAACCCCAACCTGTTAAACCACAAAAAAAATTGTTAAATAGAACATAGAAAATTGAGTCATCGTTCATAACATAATAAGATATCATGGTACTTGTTTTTTTACATTTAGGCTCCAAGCTGTAAGAATAAAGTTACCTATGTGCCTAAATTTACAACTCTGACAAGGCCAAAGACTTGTTATATAGACTGGGACAGCACCCAACTAGTAGGCATCTAAGAAGGGAAGATGGTATGATGGAGCTAATGTCACAGTGAGAAGCTATGGAGGTCACATTATTATGATGTTAGTATTGCAATACCACTAGCACTAGCACTACCCACTCATTGACCAAGGTCCCATAGTCCCTCCCCAAAAGCTTGCAAGTACATATGGTGGACAATAAGTGGTTGTTTCCAAGCAGTAATGCTGGTCAACGTGATAGGGAGTGGTTTCAGCACACCAGCTGCCCAACTGTTGCCATCCTTGTTGAAGGAAGACAATGATATACTTTGGGATGCTTATGAGAAACTCCTCCTGTGTGTTAAAGGTAGACGAGGAGAAATTGCTATTATGTTTGCTTAAAAGGTCACTGATAGGAGAAAAGGCTGGCTCTGGTGCAGAGGAGAGAGGGTCTCTAATAGAGGATAAAAGTTGTGTTGCTATCTTCATGTTATTGTTCTTTATGACTTGGTATTTTCTCTCCACTCTTAGTAGGACCTTTTTTCTGGATGACAGAAATTAGTGAAGGCTAAAAAGAAGAGGAAACTTCTTTTAAGCACTTTGGCAGGCTTCAAACCATGATGAAGGGGAGAATGAATTGAAGAGAAAGTAGAGAGTACTGAGTAACACAAGGAGGCTGGGGATTCTAGGAGATTTAGAGAATACACGGACAGCTTCTCTCCTCTCCTCCAAGACAGAGTTGCTAAGTAAAAATCTATCACACCCATGAGCAGAAAATGGAAACAGAAAAGAAATAAAGCCTTCTTTCACTGTTGAGAAGGTAGGAAGAGAGCAGAAAGATAGCTGAACTGAGCTGCCTTTTTCCTAGATGTAAGGGTGCTTCTCCCCTAGTGTCCAGGAAAGCAGGTAACCTTGCAGTGAAAAGTGATCCCAACCTCTTGTATCTTACATTCACAATTTAGCAACAAGCTTTCTACTATCATCCCCTACCACTATGACACACCTAAAGTTAAAACTGTAATGTGTGTAGCCAGTGACAAGTTTCTCCCAATATTTTCTATGACATTTTGGTATAAATGCATTTCAGATACAGGAAGAGTCAAAGGTTACAGTATAAAATGAAATTTTGGAATGTTTAAGAAAGATATACACTCAGGATATTACCCCTCCACTGTATATCCAAACAGTACAATTATCTTACCTTCTAAAAATCCTGAAAACGTATTTAGCAACCAATTTGGAACCAAGAAAGCTTTCCAAGCCATTTTAATGAGGTCAGAAAGGTTTTCTGTAGGTAGTTTATCATGCTAGTTACTTCATCTCCCATTTGCATTTTGTATTCTGCCTAGACCCCTGTCCTGCAAAATGCTCCACAGACAGACCCCTGCAACCATGTCAGTGAAATCAAGGGGACTTACTTGGGTATAAACATTTGCAGCATCAAATCCTTATTTTTTTCCACGATTCTCTAAAGATTGGGAGAGCATACCATCTATTTCAAAACAGGATTTTTTCTTCTTGAGTCACAAAAAGGTATTCTCCTACAAATCTATGCTAATTGTTAAACTGCAGGTGTGGTCAGAAAAGTGACTAGAGAGGCAACCTCTCAGTCGCATTTATTTCTATTATACATCAGTGGTTCCCAAACTCTGACAGATTGCGCACCACCAATCTAAAATAATATAACCTTAAGTACCACCAGCAAATTTTTGTCATATAAAGTAACTATAATATATCCGTTAACGTGTACCACTGACAGACTATCTGGGTACCAGTGGTGGTACACATGCCAGATTGGGAACCACTACTATAGATAACTGAATGCTCCTTTACTTAATTCTCCAAGTGAAGACAGAGGCAGTACAGGTGCAAGAGTGACCTGAGCATTAGTCTGACTCACCATCCACATCAACAAAGACACTGATCAAGCTAAATTTTCATTACTGATGATGACACGATACCCAAAAGGACCCACTTTGACTTTTACGCTGAATTTGAAGAGCTAGCATTGTTTTACACAGAAGTCCCAGACAGACTGACAGCAACAAAACACCACAACTAGAATTGCCAAATAAAACTGTCACATTACTGCCAAAAGTTAACATTTCGTGCAAGAAGCACCTAAATAGGGACGCTGACAGAGAATATTGCAGTTGCTTTACAACAAAGTGAATGCTAAATATTAGCTCAAGATTCTTCTCACAGCTGTTCATTTTGTCAGTAAATTGTCATTAATCCTTTTTGCCTAGTGCCTCCCATGTGGCTCATATGGTCCTACATGTCCCACAGTTGTCCTTTCAATACATGGGGAGTGTCTGAGAAACACAGGGTCTACCATGAAATTTTCCACCCTGATACCAGCAACAACATTCGGACCATGAGTCAAGTCAATTTGTCTATCCAGCACGTTTCTTTTAATGCCAGATCTCTCTGAGCCCTTTGTGGGGGACTACATTTAGCCCTGAAAGCATACAGCACTTCCCGCTGGGCTGCCACGAAGTAGGCAGAGAGGCTCTCCTCCCAACGTTGTCATTAGCCAAGCCCGGATTTGGGTGCCACGTTACCGAAAAAGAGGGAGGCCAGCGTCTCTTTACAGGCCACACTTGCCCATTTCACAGCTGAGGTGCCTTGCCTGAGGTCTGCTACCTCAGACGTATGGGGGGGGGCTTGGGCTCCTGGCAAATGACCTCCCTGGTCTCATCTCCAGGTCCTCATCTCCGTGGCCTAAACAGTGAGGTCGTATGGCAACCTCCTGAAGGAAGGCCCTTGTGTGAGGCACCCTCCCTTCCCCTGGGTCCTTGTGTGAGGCACTCCCCCTTCTCTTTTCAGTAGATGGGACAAGGCGCAAAGTCAGCTCTGCTGAAGCCTGTGCCTCAGTGGGGCATCCCAGGTCAACACGAGGTGGAGGAGCAGTGGCTGCCACTGCCAGGAGGAGACCCCGGCTGGCCTGAGGGGGCAGGTGGTCACCCAGCCCGGGTGCGGGCAAACGCAGGGCCAGCTCCCCCTCAGCCCCGGGGCAGGAGCGGGGTCTCGCAGAGCACAGCTGGGGCAGGCAGGGGGCTCCGCCTGCACCCTCCCCGCCTGGGGGGCACTCACGGCGGTGGAGCCCTTCTTCACCGCCTCCTGGGCATACTCCACTTGGAAGAGGTGCCCGTCCGGGGAGAACACGGTAATGGCGCGGTCGTAGCGGGCCGCCATGCTCCTCCCAGCCCTGCCCAGCCGAGCCGGCACGTGGTGCGGCAGGGGCGGGGCAGGGCGGGGCGGGGCCCGGCCAGGGGCCGCATCTGTCCCTCCCCGTACCCCGGGGGTCCTGCTCACAGCACTGGGCGCGCGGCGGGCGTGGGCAGCGCGCCGCAGCCTCACGCGTGCGTCATCACTGAGCGTGTGCGCACGTACAGGTATGCGTGCATATAGAATGCAGTCAGGCTGTAGCCGTATCGGGCTAGAGGAAAAGGCAATCAGGACTCGTAGTAGAGATGATATCTTTTTTAAAAAATGAAATTAAAAAAATATTTTTTTTGCAAAAAGCTTGAAGGGCTAATAAAAGAGATCATCTCTGCTACAAGTCCTGATTGCCTTTATAGAATGCCATGTCGTCTGTTGATAGATGTCAGACATCTATATGGCATCGTGTTATGATGTGATAAATACACGAGTGTGTTTAGGTATTGCTGTGTATAGATGCATTCAGGTAGAGATGCTCAGAGACGCATGTAAGTATGTTACAGGGGTGTTGGCTGCAGCCGTGTTGGTCTCAGGACGCGGCCAGACAAGATTCTTTGGGTCAATCCAATCTCTTTTATTAGACCAGCTCAAATTTGGTCCTACAAATTTGAGCTGGTCTAATAAAAGAGATCGGATTAACCTAAAGAACCTTGTCTGTAAGTATGTTAGAGATTTTAGATACAGGGCAGGTTTTCCCAAACTCTTTTCAAGTATAGTAATGCTAATAACACTGTGTGGGTATGATAAATCACATATTATTGTGTGTGTATATGTATGTATACAGACAAGGTTCCTTGGGTGAATTTGATATCTTTTATTAGACCAACCCAAATAGTTGGAGAATAGTTATTAAGCAAGCTTTCAAGTTCAAAAACCCTTTGTCAGGCTAAGGAAGCTGCAGCAGTTGGTGTGTGCTCTTCCTGGATGGAATGAAAAGTAAAGAAGCCAGAGGCTGGGCTGGGCTGGGCTGGGGAGTCAGTTGCCAGGCAGATTATAATGTATCAAAAATCCAATGTCTATGTTTAGTCCATGATCTCCAGTATCCAGGAGGTTGATGAAATGGAGCTCATAGGCTCGTCTCTGGGAAGTGTTGTGTAAGTTTCCCTTGAGGATCAGGACTGAGAGATTGGAGGGAGAGTGGCCCTCCTGTGAGAAATGTGCCCCTACCGGTAATTGGGTATTTCTGTCTGATGGATTTCTGGTGTGCATTCATTCTGGTGCGCAGTTGTTGTTTGGTCTCTCCTACGTATTTTCCATCAGGGCATTTGGTGCATTGGATGAGATGCGCACACACACACATACATACATACACATATGTATAGATGTGTGTGTGTTTATACATACCTACAGTAGTGTAAGAGTGATGTATCTGAAATGGTCCAGAAATCATGCAAGGCAAGGATTTCTTAGGGTGGTATCCTTTATTGGACCAATGACATATGATAGATACATATGTGTATCTATCATATATGTATAGATGTGTATGTATACACACACATCTATACATATGTATTTATATATTTTATCATATATCACATATGTATTATAGGATGTGTGTGTGTGTGTGTATAATGTATGGTATGTGTGATACACACACACTAATTTATGTATTTATTTTATATATACACTAATTTATATATTTATTTTATATATATATATATATATATATATATATATAAAAACCTCCAATAAGCATTTGGATTCACCGGATGCATATATATATATATGTATGTATGTATGTATCCTGTGAATCCAAATGCTTCCAATTCCAAGATTATCTGAACATTTTAAATACATACATCACATGGGACATAAAGGATCTTAAGGAGTGGAAAATAATAAATAAATGTTCCTCATAAAGACTGCTTTACCTTTGAAAGCTTAAGTCTATCTCAGCCATGTGGCTGGTCCAATAAGAGCTTATCATCCACAGAAATCCTGGCTTCTCACATAATTCCTGGACCATCACAGCTACCACATCACTCCACTACTACTAAATACACATTGGAGGTTTTAGTTACAGAGCAGATTTTCTCAAACTCTTTTCAAGTATAGTAATACTCATAAAGCATATTTGTAGGAGTTCAGTGTATTGTTGCTTTCCTTGCCACTCAGGTCCCATAGAAAAAAAACTGCATCATTGATGATAACACTGACAAAAACATTGAGGTGATTTATTTTTGTATTTCTTGCTTCTGTGTTTCATTGCATGTTTTCATTTAACAGCAAAAGAAATAATCTTGAAGATGTGCTAATGAAATACACAGTGACTCTGAGTTGGTACTATATATAGAAATTAAGTTTTATCACAAAAGAACACATGGTAAAAATGTCCATGGTATTGCACTTCTGAGATTAGAAAAAGCAATATAAAGGTAATATGAACAAAGGAAGTGAACTGAAAAGTAGAAAGCCAAAAGGATGCACATGTTAGAGTTAAACTGGGAAATCAAATCAGACTGAGAATGGGAGAAGGAAGAAGAGGGATCTGCAAAGGTGGTGTGGACTTCTGTGGCTGATGCTGTCTAGTACCATTACTACCTATCTGTAGGGATTGCTGACAGTCCTTTTTTCCTCTCGGGTAAGGACCAGGTTGGCTGATTCTATTGTGATTCTTGGGAGGGCTCTGCTGCTTCAGTGCTATGATTCCTGCGCTGCCCTCCAGCCAAACTTTTGGGGTTTCAATACAGTGTACTAGTTTGCAGTGAATGCTTTATGGGATATCTCTCACATTATGCCTTATAATACATAACACCATAGTATGCTAAATTCAAATACAAGAAACAATAGCATGCTTGTTCCACTCTTATCCCATGATTATGTTCATCCTCTATTTTCAGCTATAGGTCTAAGTTATACTGGGCCACAAACCCCTGCAGGAAAGTCTCTTCACCACAGTCCTATTGCCTTTCAGAGGAACAGGCAAGTCACCAACATCTTTGCTATTTTTGCTACAGGAATGCTTGGTAGTAGATGGCATCCCTTATGTGTCTTTTCTGATTTGTTACTGATGCTCAGAAGTGAAGTCACTGCACTGTAGTACTTTCCCTGTGTGTTGTGAAATAAAATGTTCATCTCTAGGAATTCTTATATAATGTTCAGCTCTAAGGAGGATTACATCAGACGTTCTTATGTTATTCTTTATTTATAGCATACATTCCTACTAGTAGGAGATTCCCTTTTGAAGAATAAAATCAGGACTCTGAAAGATTTTCTTCAGCAATGGTGCTGTTTGCTCTCATTAATGCTGACTGTTCAACATGGCATGCATTTTTTATTCTAAATATTAACACTTGCAACTAACACGACAGATACTATAGTAAAAATTTAGCATCGCAGGGATTTTTTCTGGTTTTGTTATAGTCTCCCTGGAAGACGATAGAGCCACCAATGCCATTGTAATGTGCAATAGTATTTGGCTTGTTCATTTTATATCAGAACACATAGGTTCATATTTCAAGCATTGCTCTTTATTAATATTCTACACAAATGTCAAAGCAAAACATAAATGTCAAAATGGAAAGAACTAGGCAAAAAGAAACTAGCCAATGAATACAATAAATTCAAGACAACTTTCTACTCCTGATATAATCCCTTTTACCGTGTAAAAAGCATCAAAAGAGTTGCACCAAATCACAATCAAAGGGCATTTCCCCCCAGTCAGGTTGTGTTTCTTCATTGCATATATTGTTAACAAACAAATGTTTAGAAACACAATTTGGACTGTGTTAAAAAACCCACCCCTTCAAATAGGCAGAACTCAAAGTACTGGCCCTGCATTGCAACTGAATTCACTGACACAGCAAACAGTTCCAGGATCAGGCTTACAGCAGTCAGTGAAAACTTGGGGAGAAACTATGCCAAAATTAATCTTTCTTCTTTTTTGGATTTTCCTTCACAGCTATCAAATTTTGATTCCTGTCACTCCCTTAGAACTGGCTGCTGCTGTTTTGTGCTCATGCTGTTAATTTAAAATATTCTGTTTTCTTTTTTTCATGTCAAGATGAGAAAACAGTCTTACCTGGCAAGGGCTTCAAATACACTAACTTTTCTAAATTAACCAGAGCTAATAAACCCACAGTATCAAAACAAGCTCTTAAAGATACTCTGCTTGCTTCTCACCCATCCAAGGTAAATGTACAATAAGCACTGCACATTGTCAACAACATATCCAGGCTTTTACTGGGGAGTCATGATAAACACACAGTTTGTTAGAGTCCTTCTAAAGTTTATAATGGATATTGGAACCTTCTATCAAGCAGGTAAAAGCAGGTGGAGGCACCCTGAAACTTTCCCGTTTTTTATTTCTTTTTTGCCTGGCAGTTTTGAAAATGGTAGTGTTACAATGTCTAGCCAGCAACTCTGTGCCTGTTTGGTCATGAAGTAGATTTTTTCTTCATCCCTCTTCTTGCCTGGCTTTTCCAATTCAGATAATTTTGTTCAAATAAAGCTGACACAGAGACAGTGGACTTAGCCAAGAGCTAGGCAGCAGGATACATTTTTCAGTACTATTACAAGATCTCAGTAGGAAACAATCCATAGGTTTCTTCATACGTAAAGTGAAAAAAGATTTCTTCAAAAGTAAAGTAGTCTCAATGAAATGAGTTTTGGTCCTGTCCTGAAGGGGCTAAAATTCCTCACTTGCCATTAACTCAATCCCAATAGGTAGTTTTTTCAGGAGGTCATATGTACTATTCTGCCAAGGTTAGCTTCACAGACAATTTCTCCTTGCTATTTGTCATCTTGGAAACAGAGTAACGGACAGAAAAAACAAAGATGTGAAAACATCAAAATCCTTCATAACAATAAGGAGGCTATACTTTTCAAAGTGAGGTGAGCAGAGGTGGGAGAAACAACTGAATAAAATATACTCACGTTTTAAACTCCTGGTGGTGATCTAGATTTACACATCCAAATTACAATTAAATAATGCTAAGGTGGTAACTAACTCACACTAGAAAAGAAATGTGCAATTAAGGAGAAAATATGCCATATGTCCTTCAATATCTAGGCATATTGTAGTACATTAAGAAAGTCATAAAGAAGACACCCTGTTGTGGTTATGTGTTCTGAGACATGTGGCACATTTTCATTGTAGCTATTTATTTTCTTGCTTGTGTGATCTTGTGCTATTATTTAAATGTAGGCTTTGAGTGTGAATTTTCTTTTCTATGCTAAAACAGTCCTGCAGTATCTTGCCTATATTTTCATTGAGTTTAGTTACTATTAATGAATATGGAATCCTTACAATTTTACATTATAATATGAAAACAAAAGATCGCTAAGGAAAGGATAATAATAATAGTACTGTAACTGTGTGAGGAAGGCAAAGGAGAGGAACTAGAGAGGTAAAGTTAATGCAGATAACATGGTGATAAGTAAAATATTAAATACAGTAAGTGAAACATCCTAGGCAAATGTGTAGTGAATCTTCTTGCACTATCCTGCCTCCCTAGAATGACCTGGACTGAAAGGATTGGACCAAAGGCAATTCTAGTACAGCCAGCCAGCCAGATGAGCATCAGGTCAACTGAGGATACTAATTCAGAGGCCTGGCAAAGGTAATGTCATTCTGAGAGCAGAGAGAACCATAGCTGGCATGAAAGAAGTGAGGATATTGGGTGAATACAATAGTAACTTCCAACAGTACACAGACCCAGTAGCAGTGCAGTTGTAGTGTGGCACTGAGCATGTGCCAGGGCTCATAGCCTACTTGGGGTTTGGGAGGTAGTGGGTAGATCTAGGATTTTGAAAAGGGAGGTGCACATCGTGAGGTGCATCATCACATGTAACAACCCATGTTTTTCTTCAGGTAAAAAGAACCTACAAGTTTTACTAATATGCTAGGGGCCAAGGGCTGTGATATTGTTTGAGGTTGATGTAAAAACAAGTATAACTTCATTGGAATGAGTTAAAAAGAGTCTGCAGGGCTGTGCAATAGGAGCTACATTCCTAGGAGCAGCAAACAGACAGCAGTGTTGTAGAACAAAGGTGAGCTTCACGGGTAGATCAAGGCAATTCAAAGGAGAGAGGGTAGTTTAGCACCAATGGGATGAAGAATTTGGAAGGAATCAGGTGGATACAAATGAGCAATGAAATCAATTGACACCTTTAGCATTGCCAGATGAGAAACGCTGTTGCTACTGCCAGCCTGTTGGTTTTAAACTTTGGGTGGAGCCAGGAATCAAAGTGGGGGGCCAGGGGTGGTGTGTGCAGCGAAATGTTGCCAGGTGTATGATAATTATCATATTTGTACGAGTTTCAACCCCTGTATGATGTACAATCAATAATAGTAAAAGTGTTCGCCCTGCAACATGTATGATGGCAGACAAGGTTCTTTGGGTAAATCTGATATCTTATATTAGACCAACTCAAATAGTTGGAAAAATTCTTAGCAAGCTTTCGGTCACACACACCCTTTGTCAGGCTGAGGAAGCGTCTTCAGATGGTCTGGTCTCTTCCTGGATGTAGTGGTAAAGCAGCAAGAGGCCAATACCTATGCAAGAAAGCCATTCAGTTGATACCCGAAAGCTTGCTAAGAAGATTTTTTCCAAGTATTTGAGTTGGTTTGGTAAAAGATACTGGATTTACCAAAAAAACCTTGTCTGACTGTGTCCCTAGACCAACACAGCAACAACCTGCACCCCCAAAATGTATGCTAATTTTTGAGACAGCTTATTGCTGCAGCATATGCAAACCCCAAGTCACTGTCAGGGAGTCTTAAATGACTTCTGGGTTTGTTTGTTTTTGTAATTTTATTTATTTATTTATATAAAGTTATATATAAATCCTCTATCAATTACTTCTGGGTTTGCTTCTAGTACTTTTGTATTACTACTTGCCTCAAAATAAAGAAATGTTTCAACTTTGATGACCCAGTTCTCACTCACTCACTGCAGATAATATAGTGAGCAATATAAAGTAAATAAGAAGACTTATTTGCATCTTTTTCAGCATACCATAGTTTTTCAGCAAATAGAATAATTTTGAACTTCCAGTACGATAATTTCATATTTAGGACTTGGCAACGCTCATGCAGCTACATCACTGCACTCGCCTGGATCTGGCCTTGGAGGCAGTGCAGGCTGAGCAACGCAAGCCTGTAGTGTCTCAGCCAGAGCCTGAGGCAGAGCCTGGGTCTCCCACTGTCTCTAGCAAACAGGAGCTGACTTCAAAGAACGTGGCAGCTTGGCACGTTTCTCCTCTTTGGCACCAGCCTCCTGGACCCAGGGCAGCCAACCTGTGGCATGGGTGGAGAATGGGCATCTCTGCCGCAGACTGGGGAGGGAGCTGGGAGAAGAGCAGGGGATGGAGCAGCAGCTGGCGCCAGTGAAGGGCAGGTTTGTGGGGCAGATGCCTCCTGCCCTCTCCCGCGTGGCACAGAACCGAAGCCCACGCGCGTCACAGACGCATGAGGCTGAGGTTCGCTGGGAGCCCGGCGTGGGTTCTGCGCATGCGCCGTCGGGCTCGGGCTCTGAGCTGTCAAAGGAGCGCGGAGCTGCGAGCGCGCCAGCAGGCCCCGCCCCCACGTGCTCCCTGCCGGGGTGCAACCAAGTCTGAGGGAGGGGGAGGGATCGAGCCTTC